TCTTGCGCGCCCCCGGAGTGGGGGTCGCGCCCCCCCCCCCCCCCGGCCCCAACCTTCACACTGTTGTCTGCTCCTCCAGAAAATGCAGCTGTGATTCGTCCTTGGAAGCCACACAGCAAATTCAACAGCAATAAACCTCCTTCCCCATTAAGTCGTCTGGAGTCTTGATTTGCCTTTCCCTGCGGGTTCCCAGACCACCCCGTTCCACACCAGGGTCCAGAGAGAAACCTCCCTGAGCCAGGCTGGTGAGGCCCTGGATAGGCTCCTGGGGTGTTAATGGGGACGGGATCCCTGGAGGATATCTGGTAGCCCAGAGGATGAAAGGTAAGGACGTGTCAGGTATTTGCCCCTCCATCCCACGAGCTGTGAACCCATGTGACCCTGATTAAATCGCAGATGCTGCCTCCATAGAGGGGCTGGCGGGTCCCCATGGCCCTAGCTGCCAGTGAAGAATGGGGTCCAGAGAGGCCAGGCCACCAGGGGACACCCAGAGCTCATGGACAACCACTGGCTCCAGAGAAAGGGAGGGATAGCTGTTAGCGAAATGGCTATGCTGCTGGACTCCCATGTAGCCGACCGCAGTTCAAGTCCTGGACCCGGTGGCTTAAACTCCCACCGGGCGTGTGTGCATGTGTGCCCAAGATCCCGAGAGGAGAATGGAGGAGAAGGGATTGCGGCATGGGCATCCACCCTGGGGGGTGATTTCTCACTTTCTGTCTCTCTGTCTTTCTGGCGAGCGCACGCACCCTATAGCAAAAACCTCTCAAAAAAAAAAAAGAAAAAGAAGAAGAAGAAAGAAAGGAGCTCCCTCCCTAGCAGGCCCCTTCTCCAGCTCGGCCCCCACGGCTGCTGGCCGGAGCTCCCTGACCTGTGAAGGGTACTGACCCTTGACCTTATGCCCAGCCTGCACTGGGCACGGCAGCATGGATAGGAGAGGAGGAAAGCCCAGTCCACTCTCCAGGCACATGGGTTCGAGGAAAGCGATGGTCCCCACTCAACATCACAGGGGTCATGGCGGGGAAAAATGTCACTGCGTTAGACAAGCAAGGAAACTGAGGCCCTGAGAGTGGGGTGAACTGGGCCCGGTCACAGGAAGGGACAGTCAGCAGTGCAGAAGCCCCGAGAGGCTCAGAAGAAAGCAGTCTCCTGGGGGCTGATGGGAGGCAGGTGGCACCAGAGATGAGAGTGATTCAGTATCCAGGACGGACCCTGACCCTAACCCTAACTGCAGGGCCCCACCTGGTCTGGGGCACCCTGAGAAGGTGCTGATCTCTGGAGATGCCCGCCCCCCACCCCGCCTAGCTCTGACCCCCTCACAGGAGAGGCCCTCCAGAGCCTGTGACTGGCCTATGAACTGTCCCCCATCAGACAAGTGGGGATCATTGCCCCCCACGCCCCCATGCCAAGGTGATTCCCACATTACATCCAACATGCAGTGAGACCTAGAGCCCATCTCAGTCCTGGGAATCCAGGGATGGTCCAGAAAAGACCCTGCTCTGCAGGTGACAGACTGTAAACAGGTCCCTGACTCCCCTGGTGTACACGCGAGAGTCAGGGTACAGACCAGGAGCACCGCGAGGGCCATACAAACTGCATCAGTTGGCAGGAGGAGTCCAGGACAGCTTCCTGGCAGTGGTGATACCCAAGCTGAATCTTAGCATTTGAAAAGAAGGAACTCAAATACAGAAGGTACAGCTGGCTGCTTGGCCCAGACTTCATTCCCAGCCAGCTTCTTTCATGCCCGCCTGTTGGAGGTAGAAATGCTGAATAGCTGCTGTTCCAGGACCCTCTTATTTAGGGAGTTGCGGGGCCCAGTTCTGGCCTGTGAGGTATGATAATTACATAGTATCTAACAGCGGGGAGCACCTCGCATGTTCTAGGTACTGCTCTACAGGCTTTATGTTTCCTCAGTTCCTAGAGCCCGCCCTATTAGGTAGGATCCCATCTTACAGAAGAGAAAACATATCGAAGAAGGTCGGTGACTTCCCAAGGTGGTTGGGCTGGACGGTGGCGGAGCTGGGCCCCAGCCCTTGGTAATCTGGCTCCAGGACATGCGCTTGCCATCCTTCTCCAGTGCCCTGCCAGAGAAGCATGTCCAGTACGGGGGGCCTGACACGGCTATGGTACCACTTCCCCTCCCTCCTGGCTGCAATACGGACGTGATGCATAGAGCCGAGGCAGCTCTCTTGGGGCCAAAAGATCTGCAGCCCTCACAAGGGGCAGTCCAACACCAGCGCTTCCCCCCGGGCATGTCTTCCTACAGAGAGAAAAATGAATGTGCATTTAGCCACTCTAGAAGGTTTTTGGTTACGTCCAGCACATTCCTAACTGAAACTCTGAGGAAACAAAAGCGGTCCTTTCCCAGCTTGGGGAACAGCAAGGCCAGTCACAGCCACTGCCTGGATTAGGCCAGCAGCTGCTGTTGCCACCGCCGAAGGGGAGGGAGGGGCAGGAGAGGGTGTCCCATGGTCCTGGTTTGCCTTGGACTGAGGAATTTTTCAAAGCCAGGAGCTGCAGTCCTAGAACAAGAATAGTCTGGACAAGCAGGGACAGTCAGTCCCTTAGCAGGAAAGGACAGTGACGTCGCTAAGAGTGAGCAAAAGCCCCTCACTGAAGGCCTCGTTCTGTGTCTGGGGAGGGCATTGCTGGAACTTGATCCTGAGGGCAGTAGGGAGCCATGGCGGGTTTAAGATAGAGAAATGCTCTCTGTGGTGGGTGTGTACCACTGACGTTCATCTGATGGCTGTGTGTGGAAAAGGATTCCGAGCAGGCAGGAGTGGAGGCCACAATAATAGTCTAGGCTGGCAATAATGTAACCTGACCAAGGCAGTAATGGAACGGAGAAAGGGAGACATTCAATAATTGCTTAAGAGGCACACATGTGGGACCAGCAGATGGCATAACGGCTACCTTGCTGGACTCCCATGTAGTCGACTGCAGTTCAAGTCCTGGACCCAGTGCCTTAAACTCATGCCGGGCACATGTGCGTGCATGCCCAAGATCCCGAGAGGAGAATGGAGGAGAAGGGATTGCAGTGTGGCCATTCTTCCTGGGGGGTGATTTCTACCTCTGTGTCTCTCGGGCTAGCTGTCTCTCTCTGTCTTTCTGGCAAGTGCAAGCACCCTATAGCAAAAACCTCTCCAAAAAAACAAACAAACA